AAAGACTGACAGAAAAATGGTCCAGGGATTAAACTACCAAGGAGTGGAATTCCCTGTCGCTGCTAAAGATTATGGTAAAATGGAAGAGCAAAATAGCATTAATATTAACGTGTTTGGTTATGGGAATGAGCAATTTTATCCAATTTATGTCTCAAAGCATAAAAACGAGAGAGTATTGAACCTGCTGTTGATTACACAGGGAGAGAAGCAACATTATGTCCTTATTAAGGATTTTAATAAGATGATGTACAATAAGACTTAACACCAACACCGTAAACATTTTTGTATGTTTTGTCTCCAGTGTTTTAGCACTGATGAGATACTGGCAAAACATAGGAGCAATTGCATGATAATAAATGGCGCACAGACAATAACGATGCCCGAGGAGGGCAGTACGGTCCAATCTCAGAACTATCATAAGTAGATGCCAGCACCTTTTTTAATTTATGCAGATTTTGAGGCAATTACAGAGAAAGTATCTGGATGTCAACCAGATGGTGTTAAACCTTATACTGATAAGTACCAAAAGCACACTGGCTGTAGTTATGGTTATAAAGTAGTCTGCTGTTATGATGACAAATATTCAAAACCAGTGAAAATTTATCGAGGGGAGAAATCTATTAGCTACTGCATATTGGATATGCTCTTGGAAGTAGAATATTGCCAAAAAATAATTGCTACTGAGTTCCAAAACCCACTCCATATGACAGACGAGGAGGAAGAATTATTCAAGGCTGCCGAGGAACGCCATATTTGTGGGGAGAAATATTTAGATACTGAAGTAAGAGTCAGAGATCATTGTCACATCACTGGACAGTATAGGGGATCAGCACACCAGGACTGTAATTTGAAGCTGAGAATTGTGGCAGATAAATTCAAGGTGCCAGTCATTTTTCATAATCTGCGTGGGTATGATTCCCATTTTATAATGCAAGAAATTGGATCAATCGGAAAAAGTAATAATTTGAGCATTAATTGTATCCCGAATAATATGGAAAAGTATATGGCTTTCATGCTGGGTAAATACTTAGTATTTCTGGATAGTTTTCAGTTCATGGCTAGTAGTTTGGAGAGATTGGCCGCCAATTTACCTACCAATGCGTTCAAGTATACCAGTCAGATGTTCCAAGATGAGAAATTAGCACTGATGAAACAGAAAGGAGTGTATCCTTATAATTACATGGACAGTTTTCAGAAGTTTGGTGACCAGCAGCTACCTCCAAAAGAGGAATTTTATAGTATTCTTACAGATGAAGGTATTTCTGATGCACAATATCAACATGCCAAAAAAGTCTGGAATACTTTTAATATGAGGACAATGGGCGTGTATTATGATCTGTATCTGAAATCTGATATTCTCCTATTAGCTGATGTTTTTGAGAACTTCGGTAAGACCTGCCATCAGTATTACAAAGTAGATCCCTGTCACTATTTTACATCTCCTAGGCTATCCTGAGACGCTATGTTGAAAATGACCGGTATAAAATTAGAGCTTATGACGGATGTTGATATGTTTCAGTTTATAGAAAAGGGATTACGCGGCGGTATTTCTTATATTGCTAACCGCAACGGGGAAGCTAATAATAAATATATGAGCGGGTATAATCCAGAGAAACCAAGTAAGTATATTATGTATCTAGATGCGAATAACCTTTATGGATGGGCGATGTCTCGATATTTACCAACAGGTGGTTTTAGGTGGATGACTGAAAAACAAATACAAAAAGTTAATATGGCTGCTTGTGCAGAAGACAGAAAAAAGGGTATGATTTTAGAAGTCGATTTGGAATATCCTAAAGAATTACATGAGCTGCATAATGATTATCCTCTAGCCGCGGAGAAAATAGAAGTTACCAAACAAATGCTTTCCCCTTATTGCAAAAATATTTAGGAGCAGTTTGGAATAAATATTGGCCAGGTGCACTAAGCTAATTCCAACACTATCTAGTAAAAAGAATTACGTGTTACACTACAGAAATCTACAACTCTATTTGTCTCTTGGTCTCAAACTGAAGAAAGTACACAGGGTATTAGAATTTGACCAGTCTCCCTGGCTCGCACAGTACATTAATTTTAACACCCAAAAGAGGATGAATGCTAAGAATGCATTTGAGAAGGACT